TCATCGAATAAATGTTGATGCGTAATTTAAAGGCCAGCGGCGATTTATTTTGGGGAGAGGTATGACCGAGCATCAACTGCTTACATGGCTTCTGGCGATGCCTGCTACTGCTGAAGTCAGTCGGTTAATGCAAGAATACACAGGTGTTAACTATAGCTCTGGTGAACAGGATAAGGATGTTACTCATGCAAGAAAAAGAGAGACAAAAGGATACTCTGAAAATCTTTACTGTCCTTCAAAGCACAACCCATTTCTCAAGACCCACAATTAAGAATTAAATATCATATTGGAGTCAATGGACAAAGGCAAAGACTGTGGGAAAAGACTCTTTCATTAATGAAGAATACGTCGCCTTTCGAGTACCAGTTCAAAGGAAAAGCCATGTTATAACTTTGGCAACAAATCTCCTGTAAAGATAGGTGACATGCAAGTGCAAACCGATCTCCTATCACTCTTATGCTATGAACTGTGTACGTATCCTCCTTTTTGATTCTTTGATGCTATTGCAACCTAACAAGCCTGTTTTCGGTGATGCCAGTTGGTCTAGACTTTCTAATAAACCAAGTCAAAGCCAGGTAGTGAAAAAGACTGCCAATATGTTTTAAACAGGTGAGCACTTTTTGCACAGACTACCATGGCCATCTCCCTGGTCTGCAATTAACAGAGAAGTACGTCTTTATATTGTCATTACGTAGCAAAACATAATGAAAAGCTAATATTGTAATTAACGGGTTTAGACAGCACATATACCAAGCAGATAACGCAAAAGAGGAGGCCATTAGGAAAGACAGCTCCAATGATATCCTTCAGTAATAAAGGCTAGTTTCAAGACAGATCTCTTCCTATCAAACCAAAAGCACAAGCAGATAGTTCTTTCAGTTGCTATCTAAAAGAACATGGTTGCAAGATGCATCATGCAAATGGTGACGCTGATTTACTAATTGTGAAAACAACAATTGAGTGTGCTAAATCAAAATCTACTTGTTGGAGATGATACACACCTCCTATATTCTTATCTTCTACGTTGAATTTGATTTGCTTTACATTTACAAGTGCATTTTCATGCACTTGTCATACTGTACAATGGAAAAGTAGGACAGAGTATAGACTATCTGCGAATTACCGGACTAAACGTTGTGCCTGCTGTGTTAACATAACTTGTTTAATAAATCATTGCTTCCGATTTTTAGCCCGTTAATTTCAAACAAGTAAAGATGAGGATTTTTTATCATTTTTATTTCAAATGCATTTAGCAGATGTAAATTGCGATGTTTAAAACGGGCCTTGAATTATTGCACTAACAAATCATATTCTTGTCTTGCAACATTAGCTACAAAGTCTACGACCTTTTCTTGAAAAAAAAAATGCTTGAAAATAATATTTGTGTTTTAAATTTGTAGATTTAAAAGTTGGTTTCAAACATATTTTCCCTCCGTGGAAATCAAGTCCTTGGTTTTCTTGGAGTAAAGTGCCTATACGAATTGCAGGACAAAGATGTCATGAGGTCAGCTCGTACGGAGTTAGAATTTTTCTCAAAAACGCAGATTCTTGGCGTTTCTTTTTGTTGATTCAAACGCATTGTTTGAATTTCTTTCTGAATTTGAACACATAAAAGATCTTTATTTTAAAGATTGCAAGTTTCTTGATAATCATAGCTCTCTTCCATTAAAAACTATTTGTTAAATAAAGGAGCGAAAATTTGATTAGCTTAAATTTTTCCAGTAGTACTTTCGGCAATTATTTTGGGAAGAATCTAAGTGAAGGTTTGAAAAGTGAGAATTGTAAATTTACTAAGTTGGCAATGAAAGACAGCATTATAGGTGATGAATGTGCTAAATATCTTAGTGAAGCATTGAAAAGTGAGAATTGTAAACTTACTATGTTAGACATGTTTAAAAGCAATTTAGGTGATGAAGGTGCTAAATATCTTAGTGAAGCATTGAAAAGTGAGAATTGTATACTTACTGTATTGTATCTTGGTTATAACAAAATAGGTGTTGAAGGTGCTAAATATCTCAGTGAATCATTGAAAAGTGAGAATTGTAAACTTACTAAGTTGGTAATGAGTGGCAACAATATTGGTGATGAAAGTACTAAATATCTTAGTGAAGCATTGAAAAGTGAGAATTGTAAACTTTCTAAATTGGTAATGAGTTGCCACAATATAGATGATGAAGGTGCTAAATATCTTAGTGAAGCATTGAAAAGTGAGAATTGTAAACTTACTAATTTGGTAATGAGTGGCAGCAATTTCAGTGATGAAGGTGCTAAATATCTTAGTGAAGCCTTGAAAAGTGAGAATTGTAAACTTACTAATTTGGCAATGTGTTGCAGCAATATGGGTGATGAAGGTGCTAAATATCTTAGTGAAGCATTGAGAAGTGAGAATTGTAAACTTACTAAGTTGGTAATGGGAGGCAGCAATATGGATAATGAAGGTGCTAAATATCTTAGTGAAGCATTGAAAAGTGAAAATTGTAAACTTACTTGTTGGTAATGAAAGGCAGCAATTTGGGTTATGAAGGTGCTATATATCTTGGAGAAGCATTGAAAAGTGAGAATTGTAGTCTTACTGAATTGTATCTTTATTATAACAAATTCGGTGATGAAACTGCTAAATATCTTCGTGGAGCTTTGAAAAGTGAGAATTGTAGACTTATTAAATTACATTTTAACCCTTTGAACAGGAGCGGCCGTTATTCCGGCCACAAAATATCATCGTCCAACGGGTGAGCGGCCGGAAAAGTGGCCGCCACACCTTTCTGTTACTAAGCAGCCAAAACACCAATCATTTCGTCGATATTTAAGCTAATACTGCAGTACAAATGTCCAGCAGGCACTCCTCTCTACTTTGCATAAAAACTTCATGTAAAGAAAGCACTATTTTGGCATAATAAATTCATATGAAAATGGCGTTCAGTAGTGTTACACATCGCCATGTTGTGGCAGAGGAAGTTTTAGAATCACTTCTCTATTCCGACAATGAAGGTTTTGAAAATACCTGAGAGCAAAGAAGTCAAACCCAAACCAAAGTGACAGTGTTCTACCAAAAAGGAAAAAAACTATGTTCTGCTGTAAATTTTGCCAGGAATTTTATGTATAGGAAATCCGGAAGAAAACTGCTGGTATGACTGGCATAATAAAGTTCAATACTGGCGCTAAAATGTTAGTTCTATATATACAAATAGTCTAAGATAACCATATTTGAGGTAAATAGATGAAAAACATATTCAAACAACTCTAACTGTCGGCTTCAATTATTTCATATTTTCCTTCTGGGAGCTCAGTCTGTGAAGTCAGTCATATGTTGGGAGTGCAGTGTTCAAAGGGTTAATGTTAAAAATATAGGTGATTAAGGTTTCAAATATCTTAGTTAAGTATTGGAAAAGGAGAAGTGTGAACTTATTGAAATGTACTTTGACTCGGATTCGAGCTCTGATTCGTAATGCATATCTATAAGCATTCCACTTCCTGATTTAAAGTTTGTTATTTAAACTTTCATATGTTTTATGAAAAAAGTAAGTGAAAAATTTATTCATCTTGGGACTTTCCTTTCATATAAACGTTCTTTGATTGAAAAACAATTTTGAAATAAGTCTAATTAACTATATTTTACTCAGCTATTTATTAATTCATTGTTTAGAATAAAAGTATACTTTGATTTGTAAATATATATTGTTAGTTTATGTTTTTTAATAAAGTAAATTTTTGAACCTGAGTATTGTTACATGTTTGTAAATTATGATCGTCCAGGTTAATAAAGTCTGGAGAAGGACTGTTTTTGTTGTTGTTGACTGACGTTTCGACAACCTTAGCGGTAGTCATCTTCAGAGTCAAAAAGTCATAAATTCCCAATCATAAATCCCGACCATATAAATTCATAATAATTCCCAACCAAAAAAATCATAAATTCCCAATTACATTTTTGACTCTGAAGATGACTAACGCTGAGGTAGTCGAAACGTCAGTCAACAACAACAAAAACAGTCCTTCTCAGGACTTTATTAGCCTGGGCGATCATCATTTACAAACATGTATTTTTTAATATTGCTTATTATTTAATTGTTTTCTTAAAAATACAACGTTTGCTGTAAACAGTAAAAAGTGTAACAAACAATGAGAAACCTCAACGATTTTCTCACTATTTGCTTATTTTATGAAATCTAAATAATAAACATGAACAAACGAATGTATTGAGTAAAAAATCCTTTTGAATCAAAATTTTTGTAAACGAATTCCGACTGTTAACCATACAAACGCAAATTTGTGACATAAAATTATTCGAAAAGTGGAAAGTTTAAGACAAAACTCTTTAAGGTCACTCATTGTACTAAAATGTAGTTTTTATACATTTCTACATAAGACTGACGATAAAACTTTTCTACAAAAGTATTTATCTTTTATATATGTTTATTGCATGTGCATATTATAAGAAAACCGAAATATATATAGTGTTTTAAATTTTTATTTTGTTGTCGTTTTTCTTGTCTTAAAAACAAATAATGACAGCATTTTTAATAAAATATTAAAAACAAGTTTTCCGGAAAGTATGGCCTCAAATCAATGCTCAGATAATCTGAATTCGATGTCTGAATGCGTATCTGATTCGATTTCGGAATCCTTGGGTTATGTAGAGCATTTAAACGACTTCGCATATGACGATGAACCGCTCGCAGGAGATGGTGATGAAGTGCATACTCCAGATGATCCTGATGGAATTCTCCCTGCGACATTAGAACAACGAAGTGATGGCGTAATTCCACTCGGTGAATGGTAAGTTGTTGTTTTCTCCTGTTTGTAATATACATAAAGTTACTTTATAAACCACAATGCTCCCACGTTTCAGGTGTAATTGTCAATGCTGTCATACCGATTTGTTAGAAGGCGCATTAGAGTACAGATGCTGTAAGGAAATAGGACCAGCTTTGCAGAAATTGACATTCGATGGCAGCATTAAGAAAATATCATGCATAACACAGCATGCCAAATTTCGGCCTTTAGTTTATGAAGCTGTCCTTGAAAACGTCGGGCCACTATTGAGAGATAGGAACGTGCTTATCGCCGCCAAGCATCACAATCATTAAATATGTAAGATTGTAAATTGTATGAGAAAGTATGTTATCATCAACATTGTTTCATCAACAATAATTAGTCCAACCTTTTTATTTACTTCAGGTACTTGAGAGCTGTGGCATACAAATGGTTGATGCGATGGTTTTGTGGGTCTATGAAATGGGAGAATACTCGGCTTTACCTGCTTGTGTTTACCACTTTATACGGAAAGAATATCCAAGTAGTAACACAAAAGGTTACATACCATCAGAGGGGCGATGATGGAAAGGTCTTTTAACTTGTGCACTGTAGAGACTGTTGGCCTTCTTTGCTGAGTTTGGAATGGTCAGGAAATATGCCTAGATGAAAACCAAATAGGAGATACATGGATGCACTAAATAAGTTGACATGCTGTTTAAAGGTTTGAAACAAGAGTAAACAATAAAAACAAATTGGTGCAACTACTGAGAGGTTAAGCTAAAAGAATTAAATGAAAGAAAATCTTTCTTCAATGTCAGTCTGGGAAAAGACAAAAGAAAAAATATGTGGAATTAAGTCATAGCATAAATGTAAAATGGAAAATAGCAAGCCGTTCAAATGGCGAATCGTTTGTTTGCCCAGTGCATACTTAAATATGCTCAGCTCCATCACTAGTAGATTGTACCTCATTGAGAGAACATGTTTCCTTCAGCGATGGCTTATGGAGAGTATGTCGAATAATCTACAAAACTTATATCGAATTTACATATGGCAAAAGAAAATTAACATAAACAAGCGTAAACTTACTTGTCTTCGCTTTCGATCGGTTATTTCGTCCTGTAATGGTTCGGGAATCCCAGCCACTTCAATGGTTGGGATAGCATCTTCTTCAACCTTCTTTGACTTGCACGCTCAAATTAAGGTAAAACAAGAATTTTCAAAATGCGCAGTACACAGACACGAGGTAGAGGAAGCCTCAATACCCGGTCTATGTTTACGCACAAAATTTACGCATTTTCTATGTCTTTGCGGCTCTGTTTCTTTTTAAGAAACAGATGCATCGACATTCCTTCGGTTTTTGAATCATTGGCGCAACTAATTTGATTAGGTCCGCCATTAACACAGCGTTTTCCTCCGCGTTTCTTATTATGATTACTAGTAGAATACGCCATGTTGATATATGTGTTTAACTTTCTACGTCACAAGTCATTAACATACCCATCAAAAAGTTCGCAAAAAAAATGCTGAAAATCGTGACTTTGAACGTCCGTAAAATCACTTTCACCAATCCAATTTCAATTATAATTGCATATTTAAAATCACTGAAACAAGGTCTTTCAATTTAGCTAATAAAAAAGGGGGGCTAAGATTCGTAATATAAACACTTTAATAAACATGGAGAAAGGCATTCGTGTTTGATTCATTGCGAAGATGACGGCGGAACACTCACGAATTTTACACCAACATCGTTAAACGGTTCCTGAAATGCAGAAAGCAATGGCTACAACTTGATGGACGACAGAAAGACGTAGCCTTTAAAACTTGCATTGGTTTTCATGTTTGAGAGCACACGTTGTACTATGCCAAAAGTTGATGGCTTCTTTAATAAAAGGCCTTTTGCAGTTTGCTACTCTTACAACATTGTTTATGCAGTAGTACTGTATGTATACAAAATGACCTGTCATGCAGCATGAGACCCGCACATTTTTTTCATATTTTGCTGGCCTCACTTTAATGTTTTTTAAACATTTTTGGCAACTCGAGAAGTCAAATGGAACCTTCATTTAGCGTCGTTCAGATGCATGTTGCCATTGGTTTTTATTCGCGATCGTATAAACTATTCCAGATACGGGACTGCTTATTGGCTGGAAATGACAGCATTGGAAAATACACACCCTGCTTTGTATAATCTAATTAAATTTGTGCATCGTAACTAACAGTTACAAATAAAAGAATGGGCAGTTTGATTCTAAGATTTTTATTTCGACTGTTTTTTTTACATTCCAAAGAGATTGTTCCCGATTTAGCAACAACTTTCGCAGTCCAACGCCAAGATTGTCACGGATTCTCCTCAGTTTCTTGTGACCACATGATTGAACAAACCCTAAATCATGACTCCAAAACCAAGGGAGGCATTATTGGTTTTTCATTAAATCGGTCGGCGGTCCTCAGATGGTTGTTAGCCTAATCAGAAAGAGCCGCAATTGCTAACAAATGCAAGAGTATGGATGGTTCTAACATTGCACCAATGTAAATTAGCTGTTTCTCTAACTATACACATGAATTGTCATGAATTGTATCTCATAGTATTTTTATAGAAGCCGCAAAGATCTTGACAAAACTAAGTGTGCACTTAATGAAAAACTAGTGAAGAATGTAATGTCTGCAGTGTTGAGCATGAACAATCTGTTTGATGCTGAGGAAGAAAATTTGGTTGGTTTTGCCAGTGGCTTGGTGGTGGAAGATGAGATTGCAGATAAACTCCTGGGTGCAGAAGAAATAGGGGAAGATCATTTTATTAAATTTGCACGAGATAATCTTTTGAGAACAAAACCGGACATTTTTGCAAAGTTCACCCGTAACAAGATTTCAGAACTCTCGTGTCAAACGGTCAATTGTTTCAACCAGCAAAGGGAAAGGAATCAATTTAAAAATGAACAGAGACCTATTTGCTCGGCTATTGATGATAGCTAAGACCCGTAATATTGACATTGCAAATGTTTTGTCGTACAGTCTTGGCAAGTACCCGTTTTCCATGGCAATCACTGCTGGAAGTCTTGTTAAAACAACCAAATACAAGTTATTTGCAATTTTTGAAGGTACAAATAACGATTCTCTTGGTTAGCTTTATTAGTGTTGGACTTCGGTAGGTTTTGTTAAGGTCTTGACAAGTAGGATTTTAAGAATCCCAAGAGTCCAATACACCTCAAATTTGGTTTAATGATTCAAATAGGTTAGTTTAACTTGCTAAAATCAGTTGTTGTTGCAGTGTGAGATATTTTCGAAAATTCTTTTCTTGATTTGGATTCGTATTCTGATTGGAGTTCGTATTCATTTAGGAATTTCTTACGATGTTTGCTGTATAGGTGACCACCTCACGTGCAAGTTTGATGGAGAAGACTGTAATAACAATGCACTCATTGTCGATGCCATGGCTCTTATCCAAACAATGAAGAGCAAATGGAAAACGTTTGGAGAATTCAGCGATGCAATTTTAAAAACGTATTAAAGTTGGTAAAGATTGGAAGGCAACAAGAGTTGCCTTAGTTGCGGATAAATACCTTCCCACAAGTATCAAGGAATCGGAAAGGAACAGAAGATTCGAAAACACTGCAATTCAGGAAATTCGTGTATTCGACAAAAACCAACTTGTTCCAAAGCAGTGGAAAAAGTTTCTTGCTCTGGGCGAAAACAAAGTGTCGTTGATCCAGTTTCTTTGTCAGCACTGAGGCAATTACGTATCATTTTGTCTCGGACATCTGTCATCGTTGTATGTAACGTCGAAGGAGAAATGCAATCGTATTACTCGAGCTAGATCAGATGAGGATAAAGTGGAATGCGGTGAAATGTATGAATTGGAGTGTAATCACGAGGAAGCTGATACTCGACTCTTACTACATGCAAACGATGCTAAAGAAACCAACGAAAGAATCATAATCAAAAGCCCAGATACAGACGTTTTTGTGTTGTTGATCGCCATGCAACGAATTATTAACAAAGAAATATGCTTCATGACTGGAACGGGAAATAACTTTCGCTTGACTTCAATACAAACTATTGTAGAAGAAAGTGAGGAAAATCTTAGTCAAGGCTTGCTAGTTTCCATGCCTTTATTGGTAATTCTATAACACCAACATTGCCATTAGTTTCCTTTTGTTACGATGATAATAAGTGAAAGAATAGTATACTGTAATCAATATTTTGAAAATTTTCTTTTAAGGAGGTGACACCACCAGTTCTTTTTATGGGAAGGGCAAAAAGACAGCGTGGAACTTTCATCTACGTAACCACAAATATTTGAACTCATTTAGTTCCTTAGGAAGTGCATTTCCGTCAGAAGAAATTGTGTTTCAAAAATAGATTTGTTTGTTTATTGTACGGTGACAAGTAATCTGAGGGCGTCAACAAATGTCGGTTTTCATTGTTCAAGGCAGGAAAATGTTCAGATAACCAACTACCACCAACTTGTGACAGTTTGCTTTAACATATTCGTCGGTCAAACTAGCAAGTGGTGATTCGGCGTTCCTGTTCACATTCACAAATGGATATTCCTCCTCCGGATGAAAACGAGTGGCAAACATTTGACGGAAACTGCAAATCGTATGGATGACCATTCCCCAGCGCCGGATTCCATACTTGATAATGTTAATTGTGGATGTAAGACTGGCTGCAACTCACAACGTTGTTCATGTAATAAAGCAGGAGTGAAGTGCACAGATGTATGTTCTTGTACTGATTGCAAAAATAACAATATTGATGACGACAATGATGTTGAGGAAGAGGAGTTTTAGACGCTGACATGGATGACGAATTTGAGGCAGACCTTTAAAAAGCGCGCACTTGTCTCCGCCCTTGAATGACGACTGCGTTGCAGAGGCCGCGGAACCGGGGGGGCATTGGGGGCAAGTGCCCCCCCACTTTTTGCAACAGGGAAAAATGTGCCCTTTTTGTGGAATGAAAGTGCCCTTTTTCAGAGTATAGAAATGTCCTTGTTTTAGGTAAAATTGGACTGAAGAAGTTTTTCTTTGGAGTTGTCTTCGTTTGTCAACTGTTATTTGCATAAATGCCTTGAAGACAAACTTGCAGCGTCAACGTGACAACTTCTCTTTGTTTTACGACCAAGTAGTTGCTTCAAGCAAGGCTATCAACTTTGCAGGCGATTCAACACAACCAAGACCGAAGAAAGTTCCATGGCGACTTCAACACGGAGATGGTGAGCAACATCATTTCCAAACTGCGAAAGACGCCCACCGTGCCCA